CGGCTAGTATAAAAATTTCTGTTAATTACAGAACAATGGACTATACATTATTACATTTTACTTATTATGTAAATGTAGTAACATATTTATATGTTTTTATAGTGTCCTTCATATTTCTATAAAAACGAATGAGATAATTATTAAAAATAATTATAAATAATTAATTATACTCTCGATATATCATGAATACTTCAAGAGCTCACTAAAAGTAAATTTCATTGACAGCAACAAGAACATGTATATCTAAACAGGTACACAATGTGTTAAATAAAGTTACAGAAAACTTCAGTTAAAATTTGAAAAATCTGTTTTGAGCTTAATAGATGGTGTGGAGACCTTAATTTGTGGTTTCACTAAATCTACGGGTCGGGTATGCCTTTGTGCTTGTTGATGAGAAGACCTGACAGCATTTTCTAATTTCGTTTTCAGTTCTGTGGATTGCGACATTAGTGTTTTAAATTCCTGAAATAAAAGTATACATTACGAAACTTATTCAACTAATTTCAGCTAAAGGTAATTATTTATATTGTGCAAATATTATACCTGAGGATATTTTGGTCCTATTTTATTCAACCATTGAAAACTCTGTTGATGAAGACTTAACTGATATTTAGATGCTTGTTGAAGTTGATCTCCTTCCAATAAATAATTAATTAGAATTGGCACAAGTAAAGTCAACATCTGTATACCTAATTATTTATAAAAAAAGATTACATTAGTTTTTAGTACTATATATGGAGAGTAATTACATGCTGTCAAGATTGAAGCAGATTTTAATGTATCAGTTTCTAAATACGCTACTATTTCTTACACACCTTGTAAAAGGTCTCCTGAATTGCGTGTAAAATAATTTTCATTAGAATTTATCTCAATATCGTTCTTATTCGCATCGAGGTAATAATATGTAAAATTATGAAAAATTAATAAGCACTATGTACATACGATGGGAAAGATCTGCAAGTCCTATGAGAGCTTCAACGGTGCTGACGCATTCCAAGGTAAAAGATAATTCGATATCGTTTATAACTTGTTTGCTCTTATCACTGTACAGATACTCCACTAATCTAGGAGCTAATGCATGAATATAAGGCGTACTAATTGTACGTTCTGGATGCAAAAATATCGTTCTCAATGTCTGGACACATTTTAGTCTGACCTAGAAACATTTAACAATAAGTATAAATTTGCATCATATAAAAAGTTCGTTTAAAGTATTATATAACTTACCATTGTATTTTCCGATTGGAATGCATGCCTAAAGTGATTGATGCATGGAAACTGCAGGTTCGGTGCACTTACAACTTCTGGTAAAGCGTGAAGAACGAAAACCGCAATACCTAATATCATTGCCACTTCATCCATTTTCATCTCATCATTTCCTATCAACATATTGATTTATAACACGTTATAGTAATAGATTACACACATTTGAAACAAATAATTATGAATCTTACATACCTGTTTTAGCGAGATCAATAATTTTAGCCAGAGCACTTTGTAAAAGGCTTGTCCACTGATCTTGGCTTCTATGATCTTTTGCATATTTATTTGTAGTAAGGTTTTTCATGCAGTGCAAAGCTGCATGGACTGGTATGTCCGAGCCTGTTTTATTACACTCATTATCCATACGTACTGCGGTTTCTCTTATTACTCCAGTTGCTAGATATAATAATGTCGGCAAAATTGCTATGGCTCCTGAAAAAATATAACGCAGATAAGTATGAAATTCTTTTGCGCAGTTAAATGTTTAGACTTTCTGTTATTACAAATAGATACCTTGAGGAGAACAGAGTGTAGGGAGAGATTCCATTATATTAAGTGCAGCTGCAATGAGCTTCCCACTTTCTTCGGATGGCATATATCCCCTTTGAGATAAAATTGCAGTTGTACCACCAGGATTAGGATTTAACGCTGGTATTTGACGTACCAAAAGGCACAGACACACTTCGAGAATAGCAAACACAAGCGACTTTCCTGGGATAAGCTCGCCACTTTCTTCACCTTCTCCCAATAGATCTACATCTTGAGTTTCATTACTTTCCTCATGCGAAGGTGCAATTTCTAATTGGAGATTCAAAGACATTTATAAACGTTGAAGACTAAAAAAGCTTTTGCCTATGACTTTCGGACTTATTAGAAAATTGTTTAATTACCTTTCAATTTATTTTTTTTCTTTTCCGTAAGATCTTCTTGCGCAGCTTTCATTACTTGTTTTAAAACCTCCATTACTATCATCTGAATTACGTAACTTTCTCTTGTTAATAACATCCTATAATAAAGAATTTGAACAAATTAAAATATTCTGTTTCGCATGTGTTTGTCTACATCTTAATAAAGATCGTACCTATGAAGTACATTACATAATTCAAGTGGTAATGAGCGATCTGTAATTAACACTTTACGAGCCCACGCAGAGTCTAATAATGTGTACAGGGCGTTCAAGCATGTTTCTATGTTCTGTGTAGATTCCGAAGATCGTGGACTACATAGTGCTTCCATGCATATACCTAAAATATTAAATAAATATGCAATATATATATAGCAGTAATATTATCATTTGAATATTAATAACATAATCATTTAAATAATAGTTACCAAACAATAAATGAAATCGTTCAATATTAGTGTTAGCTTTATTAGTAGCCACATCATTGTTGTTGTTATTATTATTTGCCACGTTCGAAGTTTGCACTTCACTGGTTGTTTCCTCTATTCCAAAACCTTTTGCATTCAACCACAGTGTCGCAGCGTGAAGGATCGGTGCCCACGATTCTGCGTAATGAGGTCGAGCAGAATCCATTGTATCTGTTGTATAAAAAGCACCGCCATCGTGTGGCAACTGACTAGAAAACTCTAATAATACAGGAAATTTATTATTAATATTATGATGCATATTGTCCACTTAGAATTAAGAAGTAATTATACCTGGTGGTAAAGAAAGCAAAGCATGATCTCTCAGAGCAGCTAGCCAATATTGACTTAAACTCAACAACTCTGGTTGTACTAAACTCAATAAACTTTCAGTCTGGAATTCAAACTTTCCAAAGTCTTCATCATTTCCTTCACCGACATGATTTATATTTTGATTAAATGTGTCTTTACTGTTTAATGCAGCACCGTCACGTATCATAGCAACAACATACACCTAAATAAGATATTAATATAAACATTGTAATCATTGGGTATGTAGTAATATTTAAACAAATTATACTAAAAGCTTATATTATACCTCTGCCCAAGCTTTCAGTATTGCTAATCTTTCCAACGTTAACAGGCTTTCATTATAAAGTTGTGGTCGGGTTTGTCCTTCTCTTAACTTTTCCAAAGAGGACACAAGCAGTTGATGCACTCTGCGAAGATCATTCAGATCTCTTGCCACTCCGCTTCCAATCCATGCACTGCAGGCTTGGCATGCTGCAGCTGTAACATGCGATGCTGTTTCCGCTGAAAATGCAGGTCTCAATGCAGCTCCAACCTACAGCAATTAAATGTCGAACAGAAACGTAAGATACTATAATCAAGTATAAATAATTTATATCCTAGTAAAAGATTCATTACTTGTGCTTGGAACTGTTCAAGTAACAAGTGTCCAGGAAATTCTGGTTCAGGAACTTTTGCAAACTTATCTATAATCTCTTGAAGGGTTTTCAAGCCTTCCAGTCGCAAAGGATCACAATCACTAGTCGCTGCCATGAACGCCATTCGTACCAAGTCGGAGAGATGCAGTACCAAGAAGTCACCTTATTTTGGAGTTAATGTAAGTATAAGAATGTCGCCAAATATGATATAATATTATATTTGCATTTTTAAAAGTCATACTTTTTCCTTTAGACAGTTGCATTTCTTTTGCTAAGGCTAGATCAAAGTGTGCTTGTTTATTATTCACACAAGCAGCTACAATTCGTCTAACACATTGCGCTGCAAAAACTCTAGTTGGCCACCTTGGAGTGACAGTTGGTCGCTGTTTTGTGGAGTCATCTGCATGAAATTCAGCTTGATCGTCATCTCCTTCAGCATCTGCATTATCATTATCCGTAGCACTGTCCTCAACATTAATTGTATTGGTTTCTTCATTGCCACATGTTTCTATACGTAAATAAAATATATAAAATTTCTTGATCGTTTAAATAGATATTCACATGAATTCGTAGATATACCTGATGCTATAGTAAGAACATCTTTGCATAGAGATAACCATTGCGATAAATTATCCGCAGCCAGTATTTGCAACATGCTGGTTAACGTATCATGGATATCCTTAATTAATTTACTATCGGTTTCTGTGTCTAGCATACTAAACAAAACACCCGGAAGACCAGTTTCTGTTATAACAAGACCTTCGACCATATTAGTGTCCCGACTTTCATTAGCCAATGTCATTGCATGTTCGCATACTTCTTTTGCTTCACGTTGAGCTAATTGACGAAGACAAGATATAGCGGCTTTGCGTAACAGTAAATGATTACTTGACAAGGTTCGCTAAGAACAAAAAGGAACAATGTTTAATATTGAAATGACCGTTAACCATATTTGTCGTGTTTATGTCACAGAATACGATAATTCTTACACATAGTGTAGGAACGAGAGAAGACAAGTTAACGTGTCTCGGTGCGAACAAATGCAATTGTTGAAGGCATCCAGTAGCTTCCGCTTGTACAAGAGGATCTTGATGATCTTGCATGATAGCACAAGCGCACAAAAATGATGAACGAGCCATACAAATCGTCGACGTATTACCTGAGAATTATTAAAATCGATAAATCAAGGTTCTTTATTATTTTTACCTATTCAACGTCTGATAAAAATGTTCAACTTTAATGGAAAGGCTTCGAACCTTGTAATTCTGGTCCTATTGTTGTAATAAGTGCTGACAATACTTTCCCTATACACTGATGTACATCAATATAAGAATGAGGAACATTGAGAAGAAGAGTTAATGCCAAGGACAATGTGGGTTCCACATAGCCTCGAAACATTGGTCCACCAGAGTCAGCTATCAGTGCAAGAGCGTGCAACGCCCACACCTGAGAAGATTTATGTGTTATTATTATATTATATACACGTAGAAAAATATGTTGTAATTATAATCGTAATCTTACTTGTACTACAGGCGATGAGTTATCTTGGGCAAGTGCAAGTAAAATACTGACGCTTGTATTGAGATGCTGGCTAGATCCCATCCCTCCGACATATTTATGGAGGCATCCCAACGCTAAAGAATGACCGGTTCTACTCGCAACATCGCGAGCAGATTTCAAACGATCAAAACTCGTTTGCGCTAATTCCGCTGTAAATTTAGGATCTGATATAACTTGAGCCATTCTTCCAACAGCTTCGCCCGCTGCCCATCTCAGTATTGAATTACTGCTCACTAAAGCACTCTGCAAACGTGAACAGTATTGCTACAGAGTATTTGGGTGCAGTTAATTAATTAAAGTCAATAGACACTGAATGAACTCTTACAATTATAAGATTAGTGGCAGATTTTTTTACATCTTCTTGACCAAATCCAGTTTTCGCTTCATTAAGACCCTTTAATCCACTCAACACAGCCGTAAAAACATTCATCTGTATTGCTTCTTGTCTACCAGACTTTGTGTGTTTTATACACTCGCTGAAGTGATCTAACATCTGTAATCTATGCTTATTCGCCACGCGTGGGAAAATTTGTCCAAACAGAGATACAGACAAGTCAATAACAGCAACTCCCAAAGGTAGAGGACCAGGAATTATTTCACCCTGTAGATGATGTTATTAAAATTAAAAATGTTTATAATCGTAATATGTCATAACACAAAACAGATTTCTATATAGTTACCTGTGGTACTGGCCTGTAAAGACAACACGGGTTGTGTTCCAAAGCTCCAGATCCTGCAGCACTATTTGGTTGAAGCTGAAACAAATGTCAAATATAAGACAGCAATATTGTTTGATAAGATAAATTGTACACAATATCATATAATTTGTGAAAAATATAATTATATAATGTAAAAAACATAAATGAAAGACATAATATAATAAGTACATAACACGTTCATATTTGCGTCGTGACTCGTACATTAGAGGTAAAATATATTCAAGTGGAATTAAGCTACGTGATCATAATAAATATCGACAGTAACGAGGGTTTTAAGAAATTAAGGAAGAAATTGAATTAGCTGATTTCAATATCAATACTCATTTCACTAGTATATTTATAGATCAGCATAAAAATTTTAAAAAATATAAGTGTAAGAGAGAGAGAGAGAAAGAGAGAGAGCACAGATGAGTGGCAATGCTATTACAGACTAGTGAAAGGCTTCATAGAACATTACTCACATGTTCCAAATCCGCCCTTCTGTTAGGTTCCATCTAGACATGATCATAAATGGCACATATTAATGATAAAAAGCTTAAAATATGTCACGTTGACATTCCCTCTTTGCATTACACCTGCCTTAATTACTTAGTTACACTTTTTTGTTAAAAAATACCAGTAATGTAAAGTTAGTACATTGATGTTGAATGATTTAAATTAATCAATGGGAAAGCTATTACTCTGAATACACTTTAAAACACCTACTTGATCTTCTATGGTACGGTGATCCGTTTCTTGTAACCATGTGCCAAGGATTACAGAGTCATTAGCATGACAAACAGCACGCAATAATGAAGTTGTTGTATTTCCGGGGTTTTCAGTCAATGTAAATTCTGATACTAACATTCTCAAGAGATGCGTGTAAGAACCTGCTCAATGTATTACATGTTCATAACGTAATGCACGAATAATTAAGACAAATAAATTTTGAATTAATTTTTATGTTTACCTTCGAAAGTTTGTGGTGGTAATAATAACAACGTTTCATATAAACGTAAACGAACCATAGCAGCTGGAGCTTTCAATTGTTGTCCATAATTTTTCAATACAGGTGACAAGCTAAAATTTTTTTTTTTTTAGTATAAAATCATTTAAATAATATTTGATATAAATGAATGAAACAGCAGTTGATATACTTTGTTAACATTGCCAAAGCAGATTCAATGGGTGTCAGAAGACGTCTTGTAATATCATCGTTTAAAAGTTCTGGACAATGCAATAGAAAACTGTGCATCGCCGATAGAGCGCCAGCTCTGCCTTCTAGAGTTACTTGCCAAGTAAATGCATCACCTCTAGCTTTTTCACTTTCGAGTTCTTTATTGGAACGAGGAAAGGAGTTCCTCCATAGTAATAGCATTCTAGGCAATAGTCCTTTTACTACTGCTGTACCTGTGCAATGAAAATTATATTTTTATGAATAATAAACCATACTATATTCATATATACATACGTCTGATAAATTGAAATTACTACCAACCAAGAGTCATTATAGCTCCAATTAGAAGCCATCCAGCATGAGTCCTATTTAACGATAGACGACTATTCTGACTTGCACTCCTTAAAAGCTCTTCAGCGGTATTGAAAATTATCTGCATTCGAAATTAAGTACGTTAAATAACAATAAACAATAATATATAATATCATTTTTATCATTAAATGTAATATATTTACTTTTCCTTTTGTATGCGGAACTCCAAGTGGGGATAAACGAACACTACCGAGAACTGCAGCCAGGGCACTGCTGTAACCAGCTATTGCTTCTGGTGAGCTTCGCATATTTTCAATTCCTTCTACACATCGATCAATTAAAGGTGTTATTTGACTCGGAACGGCTACACAAATACAACGCAAACACCAGGAAGCTGCAAGTCTTGCTGCTTGACACGGATGAACCAGGACAGTCATAATTGTGTCAATTAAATCTAAAATATTATATGAAGTATTTAGTACTAAACATTAATCAGATGGTGAAGTATGTGAAATAAAATACATACTCAATGATTGGTCAGACAACAAATTACAAGCTGTTGTGCCCAGGCCCAAGATTAAGTTACCCATTTCTTGTAATGCACAGACTAATAAGTGTTGACTGAACAATGTTTCTTGATTGCAGTCCTTAGCATTCTCTGGACTGAAATCTAAAAATCAGAAAAAAAGGATTAATTCGAGAAGAAAAGATATAATTCGAGAAAATGTAGAAGCACTAGGAGTGATCAATCTTACCAATAGAATTCATTTGCTTCAGAATAATGTGTGCTATTTCCTTGCAAGCAGCAGCTTGAGCTCCTTCACCTAATAATTTTCCAATAGTACCATGTAGTATAAAATTGACACATTTTCTAGAATACACAGCATCAACATGTGAACTAGCGGCTTTTGGATTAGTTACAAGATCAAGTACATGTGCAACTAATGCACCAACATTACGTTCAAGCCATGATCCTCCCAACATTTGCACAAATACCACATATGCCTAATATTTCAGAGAAAAAAAAGACAAATAACTAAGAATATAAATTAACATAATTTTTATATTTATATTCTTTCTTACATGTGTCACTCCAACTCGGACTTCTCTATTAATACTAGAATTTCCTTTAATTATTTCACCAGTGCCTTTTAAAAAACCTACTCCACCCCTTAAAAAGCCAGCCATTAAAATATTCAATACTTCATCGAGGGAAATTTGTTTATAGCTTTTGTTTTGCGTCACTAAACAAACAGAAACAATTACCGTAAATACTTCTTGTTGATATTTAATGAGAAGTTAAAATATATGTTTTTTAAAGATACCTGAAGGATTTTTTCCTTTTGGAGTTGAAAGTTGGGTCATTGCTACCAAACTACCCAACAGTTTAGCCACAGCACACCTCACTTCATAATTTGAGCCTTCAAATGCTCGGAAACAGAGAGTAGCAACACTTTCTATTTCAGTGGTATATAAAAATGGAGCATGATTCAACATTTCCAGTAAACACTGTAAACATTACTTGTATTTTAAATGATTATTATCCATTTAATTATATCTACAAAACTGAAGATGATAAAAATAAAGTACCTTAGCAGCAGCACATCTTACAGCCATTACTCTATCTGTGAGATAATGTCTAGAAACTTTATATATTTCTTTATGAACATTTGTAATTGCGGATCCCATGCCAGCACAAACCTATCAAATTAGTACAAAATGTGAACTTAATGTTGTATTTTATGTAATTAAAATTATTACCTTTTCAAGAGTATGCATGATTTCTATTCGTGTTTGTGATTCTGCAGAACGCAAAGATTTGATAAGAATTTGCACAGTCTCTTCGTATGATCTACCCATCATTCTTCCTAATTTTTCATACATACATCCTACACAACATATAGCAGCTCTGCAAGAAATTGAAAACTCCGTATACCTTGTATTTGAAAAATGCTATTAAACAAAAAGTTAATTGCTTACAATCTTGTTGGGAGAAAACTTGGGGAATCATCCTTATTTCTGAGAATATCATTGCATTTGTTAACAGTATCAAAAAGCAAAAATGTATCGCCAACACTGAATAGTGTGGCAAGACATCTTGCAATGAGTCTACGTGTAGGGGGACCAGGAGCCCCCTGCATATGTTTAGTTAACTGTTCTACTAGTTTCTGCTGACATCCTTTAATGTCACTCTGAAAGTATAAAATTATTGTCATATATATTTAATATATAACAAGTTTCCATTCATCGCTATTCATTTTGGTAAATAAATTTCAACTAGTTCTAAGCAAATCTTAGAAAACAAGACAGATATAGATATATTTATGTCTAGTTAAACAATGGCTCTGTTGAAAAATATAGTAACAAACATGAGCTATAGAAAGTCAATTTGTGTAAAAAAAAATGATCATGTAGAATAACAATACCTTTTGTGCAGCTATTAAAACCTTATCTAAAAAACGCAACCATTCGAATATAAAAACTGGTCGTTTGGCCTCTGGGATTTGATTAAGGGCATCCTCATTGAGGGTTAAACTATGACTCAACTCCATCATGATTTCAATAAATTAAATATTAGACAGTTCGATTCTTTTCACAGCTCCGCTGCAACAAAATTATTACTGTATATTATTTGCAATTTTGTTTCAACATCATCATTTAAGTGTAATTTAATAAAATTAGTCTATGACGTAAAGACGTAGCATAAATTTAAATAGGCAAAATCCATTGACAAGCTCCGACATATTTTCATCGTTTTCATTTGCAAATTAATTAGTTCGAAATAAGCATAAAACAACAAAGAAATTGGAGAAGATAACAAGACTAAATACCAGATTCACGTTACGATCCGCAATATTATGAATATGTGGCAAGCAACATAATTTTTTGTTCTGCATGTAGGATCCATACGAAATCACTTCATTTCACCAAAACTATAGAAATATTTGCACTTATTTACGTTTCCCGTTGCAAAATTAAACAATACAAAACGAATGACTTTATAAACGGTCTGCCATTCTTTTCTAATAATCTTTAGCGGTTCCGAGTAATTAGAATAACGATCTGCTTTTTCCATATAATTGACAAATCTTATCATTTGAGTTAGGTTAGGGTGCATCGGCAATCATCTGATTCAGATAAGAACCATTGACAAATAATTACACCAAGACCACCTGCTCAATGTGATTTTTACAAAACCCGCCGACATCTTTGTTCTATACACTCTGTGGTGGACATCCATTCTTCCGGGATGCGCGCGCGAGTATAACTCGCGCCAAAATTTAAACGAGGCTGAATACTCGCGTACATAAAACATTCACATGACGTGTATTTAATGAAAATAATCTGCGTCTACTCTAATTTCTCGATCATAAACGAAGTAACTTTTTAGCGTTACATTTATTTATGTATTCCTATTGTAAAAAGTACAAGTTTAGTTACAAAGATAATTACTTACAAGTATTTATTAATTACGTCGAGTGAAAACATTCTTTGTCGATGTTGTGCATCGTAAACCAAGGAGATTACTAATCATATTTATACAATCGTTAGCATCTTAAACATTAGAATAGTGTTGTTTTCAACGTATACATTCTTCTTTTTCAGATCTATGCAAATGCCATTCTTGCAAAAACTCTGTTTTCTATCACAGATTGCCAATTAGAGTCTTGTATTCGACACCACAATGAAATTAACTGAAATCAATCGAGTTTAACTTCGTTCGGGAGATATTTTCGAACTCGTGGTATCTTCCTGGTAAATTCTATTAAATAACGTTTATACGTGGAACAAGTAAATTACAACTATATCGACTCGGTGTTTAGCATACCCAGGAAGTATCCGCGAAGTGTTACGCATCGCATTGTTGCAAAAACCATCAATCCTGGTACAAACAACGTCAGAGAGTTCTTTCAACAGCTCGGAGTCCCCGGTTTAATACGAAACGACAGAAAAAGTTATGTATCCTGACAGTCTGTGACATTTTTTCTTGACTTTTTGATTTCATTATGCCGAGTAATAATTCCGAAGGAGAACTGTACGCTATCGTTCAAGAAAACATTCCCAATGACCACAATATTCGGATCTAATGATTTACATTTTCCTTAAAGCGTGTGTGCATCGAACTACAGACAATGCACATTCTGCAATTGTTCGGTGCAATCCCAAGAAAAAGTAGAGGTCGATTATCTACTATCATCGTGAGGGGGGGGGGGGATAAAAAACCACGCAGTTTAATCATCGTTCGATATCCGTAAACAATTGTTTCTATTAGAACGACAGAAGTGTAAACAGAAGATGATTATGCAAGATAGATTTGCGCGCACCATTTACGACGACACCATCGTCAATGAGCTTTATTGATTTCTTTACGGATTACAAGTGAATTTACGACGGCATAATATTTACAATCCTGCGGCTGCATAATATAAAAATTGCGTGTAAAGAAATCATCAACAGAACGTTAAATCTGCTTCATTGATTCGCATCGCTGCATTCTTCGAGCCGATCGAACTGACATNAAAGACGTAGCATAAATTTAAATAGGCAAAATCCATTGACAAGCTCCGACATATTTTCATCGTTTTCATTTGCAAATTAATTAGTTCGAAATAAGCATAAAACAACAAAGAAATTGGAGAAGATAACAAGACTAAATACCAGATTCACGTTACGATCCGCAATATTATGAATATGTGGCAAGCAACATAATTTTTTGTTCTGCATGTAGGATCCATACGAAATCACTTCATTTCACCAAAACTATAGAAATATTTGCACTTATTTACGTTTCCCGTTGCAAAATTAAACAATACAAAACGAATGACTTTATAAACGGTCTGCCATTCTTTTCTAATAATCTTTAGCGGTTCCGAGTAATTAGAATAACGATCTGCTTTTTCCATATAATTGACAAATCTTATCATTTGAGTTAGGTTAGGGTGCATCGGCAATCATCTGATTCAGATAAGAACCATTGACAAATAATTACACCAAGACCACCTGCTCAATGTGATTTTTACAAAACCCGCCGACATCTTTGTTCTATACACTCTGTGGTGGACATCCATTCTTCCGGGATGCGCGCGCGAGTATAACTCGCGCCAAAATTTAAACGAGGCTGAATACTCGCGTACATAAAACATTCACATGACGTGTATTTAATGAAAATAATCTGCGTCTACTCTAATTTCTCGATCATAAACGAAGTAACTTTTTAGCGTTACATTTATTTATGTATTCCTATTGTAAAAAGTACAAGTTTAGTTACAAAGATAATTACTTACAAGTATTTATTAATTACGTCGAGTGAAAACATTCTTTGTCGATGTTGTGCATCGTAAACCAAGGAGATTACTAATCATATTTATACAATCGTTAGCATCTTAAACATTAGAATAGTGTTGTTTTCAACGTATACATTCTTCTTTTTCAGATCTATGCAAATGCCATTCTTGCAAAAACTCTGTTTTCTATCACAGATTGCCAATTAGAGTCTTGTATTCGACACCACAATGAAATTAACTGAAATCAATCGAGTTTAACTTCGTTCGGGAGATATTTTCGAACTCGTGGTATCTTCCTGGTAAATTCTATTAAATAACGTTTATACGTGGAACAAGTAAATTACAACTATATCGACTCGGTGTTTAGCATACCCAGGAAGTATCCGCGAAGTGTTACGCATCGCATTGTTGCAAAAACCATCAATCCTGGTACAAACAACGTCAGAGAGTTCTTTCAACAGCTCGGAGTCCCCGGTTTAATACGAAACGACAGAAAAAGTTATGTATCCTGACAGTCTGTGACATTTTTTCTTGACTTTTTGATTTCATTATGCCGAGTAATAATTCCGAAGGAGAACTGTACGCTATCGTTCAAGAAAACATTCCCAATGACCACAATATTCGGATCTAATGATTTACATTTTCCTTAAAGCGTGTGTGCATCGAACTACAGACAATGCACATTCTGCAATTGTTCGGTGCAATCCCAAGAAAAAGTAGAGGTCGATTATCTACTATCATCGTGAGGGGGGGGGGGGGATAAAAAACCACGCAGTTTAATCATCGTTCGATATCCGTAAACAATTGTTTCTATTAGAACGACAGAAGTGTAAACAGAAGATGATTATGCAAGATAGATTTGCGCGCACCATTTACGACGACACCATCGTCAATGAGCTTTATTGATTTCTTTACGGATTACAAGTGAATTTACGACGGCATAATATTTACAATCCTGCGGCTGCATAATATAAAAATTGCGTGTAAAGAAATCATCAACAGAACGTTAAATCTGCTTCATTGATTCGCATCGCTGCATTCTTCGAGCCGATCGAACTGACATATTATAATTAGTTCAGCGTCGAAACAATTATAGACGCGCCGGTGGACTGCAATAATTGCGTATGCATAAGTTTCTTCTAATCTCGTGCGATCCCTGTTATTAAGTAGGGTATATCCTTTTGAAAAATGAATTCCTGATGTCACCTCGCGACGAAAGACGCGCGGCAAAAGACGCCGCGCGATTACCTACGGAACAAAATGACCATACCAAAGATTCCAAGGAATGTGTCATCGGCTTATTAATGACGTTCGATTTCTATTAGAAAATGTTTTGCACCTCCGATGCGCTTTCAGGTTCTTCGGCGTTTTCTTCGGTCACCGCCGTGAAAAGGAAAACCGCTGGTGTGACCGGAGTGCGAATAGAAGTGAATGAAAACATTAAAATAATAAAGGATCTCTCGCGGTGTCAACACGGCTTACTTAATATCATTCGAGAAGCCTAAATAAGAAATCGATGCACCGACGTCGGCGACAGGATGCAGCCGAGTGGCGAACGATTTTGCAGGAACAGAATATGCATACGTATAACTACCGGAAAGGAGATCTTTTAATGCCATTGTGGTTGAACTTCTCTTCCTTCTCGGCTCATTATCTTATCACCAGCGTGCACTACTTGTACGTATGCACGCGCAATGCACGGGATTCGTTTGTTTCCACGTATCGTACGGCAATTTCGCTTGTGAAATCGGTACGGTTTCAACGAATTCACTCGTAACTCCACGAGGGAATCGATCGTAGGTGCTCCGAATCGATAAGAAAAACGAAGGAAAGCGACGAAAAAAAGATAGAAAATGTATCGCCGTGTGAGAAAGAGCTGTTATCGGTCGGCGCGCGCGAAACCGATCGATGAAAATCTAGACACGCTTCGTTCGTCCGTTTCGCGCCACGGATATTAAAATTATAAACGCATCGATTATCCGTTGCATCGTGCAACGTTCGGATGAACAGCCTCCGAACCCATTTTATTTTCGTCCGAATTGATTGGCCGTTCGTGGCGTCGCTTAATAAAACGTTGTTCGGAAACGACGGAGGTCTTCTTTACCGAACAAGTGAGGTATAGCAGGGCTGTTTGATTATCGCGTTGGGAACCTGCTTTTGATGACTGCAGGAATGCTATCCTGTTTCTCTGGCACGGACGATAACCCTCGTTTTACAATAAAAAAACGAACCATCTAGTACGCGGCTAGCAGGGAGCCTCGCGAACGATCGTCGTGGATCGCTCCTTCCGATACAGAATGACTTTTGATCATGGAGACCGATTTTATCGGCTGTAAATTTCGAGTGCGATTCATTTCGAGTGCGATTCATTTCGAGTGCGATTCATTCCGAGTGCGATTCATTTCGAGTACGATTATCGCAGCTTTACTCCGTCCTCGTAAAATCCTCCAATCATCGCGATATCGTTGGAGAACGATCGATCTCCGCTAGAAATCAGACACCGGCGCGTTCTATTATCGTTGGACCGCGGATCTCCGTGCGAAATAAGAATTGTCCAGCTCGACTGCAACGAACAAAAGTTAAACAGCGTGCGAAAGCGTGGCATAAATTCTCCCTAATGTTCTTTCAGCTTGTAGACAAGACAAGAGAAAAAACACGATTATTCGAGCCTCGCGAATCATTTTTATAGTCGCCGATTGTCGACTAGTAGAAAAAAACAGGGTGCAAAAGGCTCGAATAATCGTATCTCCTCTTCCCAAATTGCCCATAATTTCGGTGGCCCGATAGCCTTGCTTTCGTGCGGGTCCTGTATGTGCGAGAGAAACCTGATTTTTCTGTGACGCACGTACCTAACTATCCCTTTCTTTCCGCATAGCACCCAGTTAGGATTCCCCGTGTCCCGAACATCGATTTGAAACGAGAATTTCAGGATAACGGTGGTACCGTTTTTCATTATTTTTTCGTATCTCTGTAACAAAGCGTCGGACGATAATAATGATCGTAGTGATAACAAAGAAACGTCGTTTTCACGAAGATTATCGTCAGACCGCGGATTTTGTGCGGCACCTCGAACAATTTTTCACGAGAAAAATAAGCGGAAATGGTACAGAACGATAGAAAAATTGAAAGGGGATTTAAGAAGAGGGTCGCGGTATAATTATTACACTCTCCTTTGTTCAGTCTCGTGAAATCGCTTCCATCGTCGGCACGAATATTCTTCGCCGCGATCCACGAAATCGGCGAATTCCTACGAGAGCACAAACGAACGGGGTTCGTTCGTAATTTGTTGCAGAGATCGAGACAGCGACGACCGTAAACATCGGACAACAAGGAAAAATTGGCGCGCAACTAAAATACGTCCCGTCGATAGGTCAAACGTCCCTCGCCGCGTAGCTTCCTCCGATTTTTTCGTTTTTTATACGACGTTGCTCATCTGCATTATTTACCATCGCTTTTTACGCGAGATCAACGTTTTTCTGACCGACTCACGAACATTTTACGTCGCACATGACGCGCGACCTTTATCCCATCTTCGTCTCTATTGGATCAACGAAGAGACCAGAGAAATATAAAAGACAGACAGCAAACGGATCATCATCCCGTTTCTCAAGGCGAAACAACTGACACGTTATTCGCAGAGTCCGACCGTATGAAAATTAATGAAACGCGAACAAGGAACGAGTTCCGATAGAGATCGATGACGTATTCGCTTCATTACTTTCCACAAAATGACGTTACACGTGTTTGTCTACCATTTTATTGTTCCCACAACAGTCCGTAATACACTCCGTTTCGTCCGCGTGTTTTACGGTCGAGACCAATCAGTATCGAAATTAATGCGGATTCTCGTGGAACATGATAATTATCCGCGGTGATCGCAAGATCCCGGAGAGTTACCTCTGTACATTTTTAATTAATTAAAATATGCCAATGATCGTACCGAATGTTCTCCGCAAACAATGTTCGAGCAGATCCATCGTTTCCTACATCTCGTTTGTTCGTCCGCTCAGTGTGCTAGTAGCTCAGAAAACAATTGCAATTGTTCGAGTTAGTCGAAAACTAACAAGTGCCACTTGTGTCGCGTTTTTCACGGATATACGATCTAAGCGTTCTTCGCGTCTTAACGAACGCGCGTTCATTCGCTGGACCCGAAAATCGACGATTTGGCAAAAGGAGATACGATTATTCGTGCCACGCGGCACGTTTTTATAATTGTCGACAATCGGCGACTATGAAAACGAGGTGCAAGGCTCGAATAATCGTACCTCTTCTTCTCAAATTGTCCATCCTTGTGTACAAGCTGAAGGAAAATTAGGGAGAATTTACCGTGAATACTGAATCAAGTCTCGCACAAGTATCGCGACGAAAAGAAACCTCAACCTCGATAATTCCAAACGGAAATCTTAAAACTTAGCCAACCGAATTGGGAGATCTCCCCGTTTTAAATTCAGTCGACTGATGACCGAACGGGGAAAACTTCTAATTTCTAAAAATTAAAAAACGATTGCTTAATTTTATTCAGATTTGCAAGAGGCACGAACGCTGGAGAAGTAATCGATGCCATATAAGTTTGCTTCGTAATTTTTATTTAATTGAATTCTATGAAATTTTTGGGGTTTCTGATGCGGTCAAGCTTAATAAATAACCTCGACAATCGGTAACTATATAAACGAGCCGCAAGGCTCGAGCAACGATCGTATCTGCCTCTCCCCAAATTGCCAATTTTTGTGTACGATCCGAGCGTCGATTACGGAGAATCTGCTGCACCTAAGGGGAACGTTTGCACATCGGGATCGCGTTTATCCCGATCAAACATCGAATTTCGATTTTCCGATGGAAAAACTGCGTGGATCGCGTCGCGTCGCGACGACGATCGCCAGCGATTCCGGATCGCGTCATGCACTCTATCTGCACGTTAGCCGGCGGTTGGAGCGAGAAGAAAACTGTTGGACGTTGTCACTCGGCCGGCTTCGGTATGGGGGGTTGCGGCCAGAAGCTGGTATAAAACAGAGGAACACAAGACTCGGCTCACTAATAACAAGATTAAGGGAGAGAGAGAGAGTGTGCGTAGTCAGCGAACGATATAAGCGAACCGTGGGCTCGTGGCCACCGCGGATTCCCGACTACTTCAGAGATCCCGGCACCGACCGTCGACGTTTCGCATCCGCGACGAACGAACAGAGAGACACTTCGAGCCGCGAGAAACACGATGACAGTGTGAAAAAGTGTTGTTGACCGTTCGAGAAGTGTCATCGGAGGATCGACTCGAGTGTTTCCATTTCGAACGATACTTTAACTAGCTGAAATAGCCTTCCGGTAAGTTGCCAAACATCTTCGTTCGTCGCGTTCTTCGGGATCGGAACGATCGTTCTCGCGATCGATCGATCGTTCGAGTCTCGTGCCGCTGATCTACTCGGTTGCGGATCGACGAAATCGTTCGAGCGATTTTCCAGTTTTTCGAGAATCTCGGGAATGTTCGAATAAACGCTTCTCGGAAATCCGTGCGCGTCCCGCGCCCGTGCAAATCGATTGAACTGGGCTTTTTAGAATAGTCTAGCGAGGTTTGAATCGTTAAAGAAGTCTTTCGGTATTTGAATTGTTCAAGACTCTTTCAGTGTTTAACCTGTTAATAAAGACTTTCAGTATTTCACCTGTTAAAGACTTTCTGAATTTTGACCGAGTAACTTCGACTGAATCAAAGACTTTCAGAGTTTGAACCGCATTATAAAGACCTTCGGAATTTGAATCGCGTTGAAAACTCTCAGAGTTTAAGCTGCATTAAAAACATTCAGAGTTCGAACTACTTAAACAGACTTTACCGCAGTTTTAGCCTGAAACATCTCGGCTGGAATTCGATTAAACGGCTCGTTTTCCTGCACGGCGATCGATTAAAACAACTTTTTTTCCTCTCCGCGGCAAGAAGAATCGCGCGACTTCGCGAAGGCGGGGTGGCAGTAAAAAGATCGCGGAAAATTTTTGCATCCTCGTTGTTGTTGTCGTTGTTGTTGCGCCGGCTGTTAGACACGCGTGTCACGCGCCGCTTCCGCGTTGCACGCCGCTTTCTTTCTGTTTAGGAACCGATTTACATCGGCGATGCAGATGCAACATGCTCGCATAATAACAACGACGACAAGATACCGTGTTCGGCGCGTGTAAGTTGCTTTATTGTTTGGCGTCGGATGCGTGTCTCGCGTCCACCCGTAAAAATCCGCGCGAACGCGAGAGCTCGCGTTTCGTCGGCCAAGAATTTAACGATCTCGGGAACGCGATATATCATTCGTATTATTGGTAAAAACAGATTTGGATAATTCGACTGGAAACGACGCAGGATTAGAAGAAAAATTAAGCTGAATTAAAAGCTATAATCGGACTGCGAATTTTATGGACTTTTTAGAAAACGTTTAAACGAGATTCGAAAATATGATCGGTATCACTGTCGATTTTTACTCCGCAAAAAATCTGCACGCGTTCGTTCGATATATCTCAGTAATAATTCGTCGAAATGTGTTGTTTGATACGTTCGATGGCGCGCGAGTCACGTATGGGTGACACTAATTTTTAATTAGCTTTTTGAACCGATATTTCCTACGGAAAATTTTCACCTTCTACTTTCAGTCTCGTCGATTAAATAATTTTGATATTACGCAAACTTCTCGAGTTGATATTCGGCACTTAACGCGTTAATCGTCGGATACGATTTGCTGTAATGGTCGCGCGATTCGCGCGAACGCTTCCCAGCGCGGTGACTGCTTATCCAGGCGTTGAAGTCTCCCGGCAAGTCGGTGCGTGACTACTCCTCGGTACCCGCAATCCCGGCTACTTTGGCTGTACACGCGCCAATTTTTGCTAGATCCTCGCAAAGCGACAGCCTCCTTTTTATTATATGCCAACGGTGACGCTGGAATACTGTAATTCAACCGGTAAAAATAGGAAGCAACCGAGGCAGCTCGAAAACGTTGTGATCTTTCGATCTTCAAGATGCGAACATTCTCGGTAATCGTTTCCGTTAAATCGCTGTTTCCCGTCTCAAACGATGCTAAAATGAACGTATCATTCGACGAAGGGCTGTATCGCTGCCGTCTAGCAAAAACGAGTGTCGAACATCCGCCTGATTAAATTATACGCCGAAGAATATTTTAACGATATACCGAATGACATCCGTTTCAAGCGAGCGTTTTTCTGGGACCGATGAAAACACTATTTATTTTTAGCCACTCGAGTCGAAAGTAAACAAATTCCGCACAGATTCCGGAAATGATCCCACTTGTGTGGACGATTGTTAATTTCTTCTCATACAACCGACGTTGCAGAATGTTAGCGGATGCTCCCGTAATTCGTCGGCTATTTGGCCTCTCTCTCGATACCTGTCGCAGCTACCTTTCATTTTCGTTAACATTACAGCTTCCGAGCTGTACAATTTGCACATGTTTACGAAGAATTTACCCATCTAAAGATCCGAACAAATGTATTATCGTTACCTTTACGCAATAATACGAATAGCTGCTACTGATCCGTGCGATTTCGAAACATCGTCGGAACGTCTACACCGTGCAGATGTAATCCCCGAAGGGTTGAACAGCGAATAAAAATCTATTTTCAATTTTTAGTCGCATGCACGAATCAGCAATTTATCTTCCAGTAGTTTGTGCAACCATCGACTGGCGCGATCATTTCGATTCGCGAACGTTATGAACATAATCGACGCGCTTAAAGGATCTATAACGCGGCTGAATGCTTGAATCATCGTTGCCAGAAGCAGTAGGATTATCGTCGGAGCAATAATTAATGGAGAATAATTTTCCGCGACGACGGAAAATCGCCGGCAATCGAAACCAGTTCCACGGTTTCCACGGTTTCCACGCGACGCGAATCGAGTCGGTGAACGAACAATCTACCTTCTATACATATACGAAATTTTTACCGCCATCTTGCCCGCTTCCATCGCGAGCACGGCCGCGCCGTGACCAATAACGCGCGCCCATATAGTCGCAGATCCTTTTATTGGTTCACAGGTGAGACCGCCGCGGATCTTCGACGCGATAAATAAATAATTCATCGGAGCGATATAAAGGTTCTCCCGAAGTTGCTTAGCGAGCACCGTTTCGTTACGCTTTTGCCGCGACAAACGGTGGCGGGGGGCCGCTGTTTAACATTGTAAATTTGTCTCGCTAACACGTCCGCGACGAAGATCTACATTAACGCGAAACGTTAGTGCATCCTCGCGACGTGAGTCATACACGACGCCGCATCGCTGCATCCGGAGGGAAACAGAAAATAAAAATGATCCGTGACGGTTCCCAGAAACCGGGATCGGGGACCGAAAAAATGTGACCGAACCGGGAGGAACCGCTTCGATTGCTATGCAAATTCACTGACTAATGACTTCGGTAAACTTGACGCTCGTTTTTCGACGTTTCGGAGCTAAACGCGGAATAACAGCGGACGCTGTTCCGAAATCGACCAATGTACACACCGCGATCTCTTAGCGGTCCTTTTTACCGTTCTCTTAGCGCTATTTTTAGCGATATTTCAGCGATCTTTTTGTGTCCTTTTACCGCTCTCTTAGGGTTCTGTTTGTATACCTTTGCTATTTTCTTAGAGTTCCTTCAATATTTCTGCTAGCGTTCTTTCAGTATTTTTTTATCGTTCCTTTAGCATTCTTTTATATATTGTTATCAATGTATATTTCTTTCGTTTATGAATATATCGTCAGATAAATATATCTTACGATAATCTGTATTTACTGGAAAAACGCTATAACATTGCGTTATGCCAGTGAACGAGATCGTTTCATTTTGATCTTTTTTCTTTAAAGAAAGTCGACAAATGTCTCGTTTCGCGTCATTATTGCACTAGCTACTATAATTTAATACCGTACGAAATCCAAGTGAATCGGATCCATCTCGAAGATCCATCTCGAAGAAGATCTTCTAGATTTTAAAAGAATGAAACGCGCGCCCGACCTCCTATCCTTATCTCCCCGTTCGCCTAAACAACGGTTCACCATAGAATTCGCATTAAAATTGTATGTGTCGAAACCGAACCGCGTGAACGCGACAATTTGAACATAGTCATCATCCCGAGAGCGAATTAACGCTTTCACCGAGCTGATTGCAAACGTTAATGGAGGATGGGCAAAATTGCGTACGAAAACGCAGACGAGCCAAACGGAATGCTCCGAGAGCGTATCATTTCGCGAAGCAACCGAGTTCGAATTCGAGATGAAACGGACAACGTCGATTCGTACGTACGTACGTACGATGTTTAACGACGATCACGGGCGGACACAAAGTTGTTCGAGATTTGCATTTTCGTTGTACACAAGACCGGATTTACATCTAATAAATAGAACAGCGTAACTCTTTGTGACTCAGTCAATTTTTTCGTCGTCGACGGACAAGCAATTAGAAACGTAATCGCGCTGTCACACGACGCCATTAACGTAATTGGTTCACGGATTATGATTTACTACCGGGTTAAAAAGTTCGTTAACAAGTGCCCCCGCCGGCTCTATTGAAAGTCGCAAGAAAAGGCAGCTGTTAAATAATATCGCGATACGTGGACGCGTCGATTTTTTTATCGAATCGACGGTAGAACTCTTCGTTCGATCGCGTTTTCGTCCGTGCCACGTTTCGATGAATTATTTCGAGAGACACTGTAATAATTAGATATTGTTAATAATATAATATAATTTTGTTTGAAAATGTCACGTCGCGTTCCGTTCCGTTCCGTTCAGGTGTCTAAGAGAAAGAACGAGAACAGCTTTTCGTCGACGAAGGTTCGTTCTCGTCGTCAGAGTTCGTGGAAGAGTTTCGTGTGATTAATCTCTCACGGATCACCGTTTGACACTGTCTGTTTGCGCGTTTTTTTCTTTCCCGACGCGAGCAAACACGACAGTTTTTTTTTGTCTTCCACGGTACACGCGTATTAGACGCGTACAAATATTCGCAGCCGTGAAAAAACGCGCGATTGTGTTCGACAGGATGACACCGCGATCGCCGTGAGATCGTTCACATCGATGATTATTTACGGATGTTGATAGAAAGTAAAAAGTGATCTGCATCGATTACATATGCATATTTTCTTACAAATAAATAGAATCCGCTGTCTAGATGTCGGGGATCATGAGAAGCTGTCGTCGCATTTCTCGTCGGCGAGATCACTGATCTTTGAGATTCATAAACATCCGGACGTAGCACAGTTTTCTGAATTTATAAATGAATGAATTTAATCAATTCGTCGTTCGAAACGAATATATTATAAATTATTATATCCTTCGCCCACTTATATATATATATATATATAACTTACTTATATATATATATAAGTGGGCGAAGGATAATTATGCAATCGGCGACAGAAACGAACTGGTGAAATGTGAAAGTATTAATTAAGTCACGTTCGATTTGGTCAAGTTATTAAATAACAAAATACATATTCATTTAAATTCCGATCTTTTTACCGCCGGTGACTGGTTTTGTCAAGGTGATTTGTCCTTTTTTTTGCCATTTAATTGTATATAAATTCTGTGAAAATGTATATAAGCTCTATAAAAATGCAGATAGATCTTATAAAAATTACATAAGTCCTATAAAAATGCGAATAGTTCCTATAAAAATTACGCAAGTCCTATAAACCAGTTCTATAAAAATTGTGTACCAGTTCATTAAAAATTCCATAGAATTTCATAGAATTTCTATGAAATTCTATACAAGTTCTAAAAACTTGTCGACCTCGCGCCTACGAAGCTCGCCTCTCGTTGGTCATCGTTTTTCGTTAATGAGCTCGTAAAAAGTTACTTCAAATGAGCTCGGGAACCTCTCATTTCCCGGAAGTACCATAATTTTGGGACAACCTGTATATATATATACACATATAAATTCTTATAAAATAGTAGATCAATTCACTCTGTTCTCAAGATAAAATACAGATCAATCGTTCACGCAACAATTAGTTCTTATAAGCCGCGTAGCACGAGAAAATTATTTCCAAGAATCATCCTGATTTACCTCTGCTAAGTCTGCCGCTAATATTCTTATCCTATTCGATCTCTCGCTTCTATAAATTCGTCTATAAATTCATGCGTTGTTCTTGAAGCTGGTCGTCGCGTCGGTCACTGACGAAATTGATCAGACTGAATTACGAATTAGCATTAACAACACGTTCGCTGGCACGTCGCAAAAACTTCAAAAATATCGCAACTTCGAATGGTATACCGCCGATGGTTTGTTGAAGTCGAGTGTTTGTCACATTATCAAATCTCGATGACGTTATTTCCAACGAAAACGAAAGAATGTAGCAGCTCCGTGTAAGAGACTAGAACGAAGCATGAAGCATGGGGGGAACGGGGAGACATACGCATTGAACAAGACTGACTAATCGGTCTGCTCGCTACTGGCTCATTCTACTTACACCGGCGAACTGCATACAATTTCAATCGATCTCGCTATTCAAGGATTACAACGCGGCTTGACACCGTCGTTTTACACCATCGTTTTACACCGTCGGTTTCACAACATCGTTATTCAAACTGGCTTACCAGTTTTCGCTTAGAAACGAATCATTTTCAAGCTGTTCGAGCAAAAGTAAAGAAGACGTAAAGAAGACGTAAAGAAGACGTAAAAACATGTAAATTAATGAATGTATGCGGGTGCAGTAAGCTTTCGATATTTGAAGATTTCTATATAAATTGATCGTGCCAACGAACGGCACGAGTTTTCCCACTCGAGTATAATTAGTGTACAAATATTGTAATTTCGCTCTATCCAGCTTCGAACAATTAATTGAAATGCTCGCATGCTTCGTTAAGATATTCGACCAACAAATTAACGCGTTTCTTGAAAGGCGTACCTTAAACAGCACCCTGCGAGAAATCGATGAATGAAATTACGAACGAGAGATTTAACGAGATTTAATTTCAAAGGTCCATTAACGAAAGCAGCGTTCACCCGCGAACATAAAATTGCACTCGAAGACTGAGAAAAGCCTCGAGAAGGTTTCAACGTTTCAACCAATCGAGACAGCCTCGATCGCTGGCTCGTGTGTCGGCAAAAGTCTTTGAGACGTCGAATATTCAAGTTCTAATTAACGATTTGTTAATCTTTTTCTCTCGATTGCACGGCCGCGATCTTGCGAGGGTAGTCTATTTAAGTAGAGCCGTTCGATTGAAAAGGAAATCCGACCAGATTCGAGTTGATCCATCATTCTCTGTACTTCTCTGTTACAGGATCTTGCCGGCAAGGAGACGAAAAACGAGAATCGCAGCGAGTCCGTCAAACAAATCAGCCCGCAACCATGAAATTCGCAATCCCGTTGCAACACTTCAAGAGTGAGTAATCATCATTGTCGCGATTGTTGCCCATGATTCGCTAGTTCAACGTGCGCGACAACTCAATTTCACAGATTCGCAGAAAGCATCCGTTTCGATTGGATCGTTTGAACCGGTTCTTTCGAATTCAAGCTTTCGAACTTGTCCTTTCGAATTTTAGTGAGTTGAACTGGCCCCTTCGAATTTGATGAGTTCAACTGGTCCCTTCGAATTTGATGAGTTCAACTGGTCCCTTCGAATTTAATGAGTTCAACTGGTCCCTTTGAATCATTTGAATTGATTCATTTGAATTTAGCCTGAATCATTTGAATTCATTCTACAGAATTCATTCTGTCGGATTAAATCATTTGAATTGATTCATTTGAAATGAATACTCCGATCAAGAGCTATCATTCGATCTGCTTTAACCTAAGAAGGATCAAACTTCGGCCGCAAGGTTGTTTCGGCACTCGCGACCACGAAGATTTAGTCCAAACCTGTACCGGTCAGAGATCTTGTTGGAGCAAAACGAGAAAAGTAAAAGGGCTGACTGGAAATTGCCTTGGGAATCCCCGGCAACCTCGATATAAACCGGAACGAGACGATGCTACAAAGAAAGGCTCACGTAAAAATCGAATAGGCGGTCAAGATCGCTGCCTGCTACATGTACATATACAGGGCGTATTCTATACATATATATACCATAATTTTGGGATTATATTTTCGCCGAGGAAAAAGTGACTTCAAATGACCTTAGAAACCCCTCGTTTCCCGCAGGTATCATCATTTTCGGACATCCTGTACACGCGCGTGTAACGTATATACATTCTAACGAGATTTCGCTTGGTTAATTATCGAGCTCCGATTACTGCCCCGCGAATGTCCGCGAGGCGAAGAACTCGCGGCATCGGGAAGATAATAAAATAATGGACTGCCAATCGACACGCTTAACGCATTAACACCGACCGCATTGTTTGTAGAAGCGACACGACCGACACGTCTCTCTCGGCGTTTCCGTTTCCGCAGTACGCCGCGTTTCCACGTAATTCTCGAAGAACGATAACTAATTTCGCGACGGCGACGACGACGACGACGACGAACGGCGGAAGCGAGGGGATGTCATCCGAGGAATCAAGGTGCGATCTTCTGGTGCAATCCTCCGGTGCATTCACGCCGACACGAACGCGGCGCAACATGCAGAAATGTGTAACGTCAATCAGCCTGACAGGTTGTTTGGGATGACGGAACCGTTAAGAGGAGAGAACGTTTTTTTATAGAAAATAATTACGCTGGCCGTTTCCCTACGGCGCACTGCGGAATTTGAATTACAAAACCATGTAAATCGCGCCCCAAATAAAAAAATCATATCGAATGCGCGACACGCCGGCGAAAAAGAAAAGCGCAAGCTCCGCGGGATAGGTAAACACGCATCGATCATTTCTACGCGTATGCCGCAACCATAACCGTGGGGGCCTCGTGACGGTGCTGGCCGTTCGGTCATCGTCGGGATCATGATCATCCGTTTTGTCACCTTTTTCCGCGAACATCCGCTCGCAACTAATTAGCCGCTCGACGGAACTAGTCACGTATAATTGCTCGCATCCTTCGTTTCACTCATAATTCGATTCCTTTACATGAAAACTCTCTATCGGCGACACGAGCTTCTTATTCCGCTTTAGAAACGAATCAACCTACAGATAACCCCCGACACTATAAATAAATTGTCCAATTGATCTTCCAGATTCCTGAATACGCTCGCTGCAACGTTTTAACCATTGCTTCGTTCGTTCGACCACTTTGGATTATTTAGCGTTGTAATTTTCTTTTAGATTTGTCGCGACTACGTGGCTATTCAGTCAGTTCTCCCTAATTTTCCTTCAAATTGTGCGCAAATATGGACAATTCGGGAAGAGGAGATACGATCGTTCGAGTCTCGCGACGAATTTTTATGGTTGCCGATTTTGTCGACAATTGTATAAAAAACGAGGTGCAAGGATCGAATAATCGTATCTTCTCCTCCGGAATTGTCCATCTTCGTTTACAAGCCGAAGAAAAATTAGGGAGAATTTACTGCGAGTGCTGAACCGAGTTTCACACGAGTATCACGATGGAAATGAATCTCAAGCTCGATCATTCTAAAAAACCTTAATAAATTTGAATAAATACGTAGTCGACGGATAGCCCTAATAAATAATGTAGTCCGCAGACAGGTTTTCTCGTTCTTCCTAGAATAAATTAAGGATCGACGGAACTGATTTCTCCGATAAGCGTTTCCGAAAAAATTTCCAGCGAGATTCGTGAATCCGAATTGTCGGTGAATTATGATTCACGATGATGAACGTCAAATTTCGGCGAGGTCGTGCACCGAAGGCCATCCGAGGGGCATTGGTAGCAATAAATTTTTTAATTGGTACCGGTTCCTCCCAGATCCTCGGCCCTCGTCCCGAATGGATCCGATAACAGCGGAATTATCGAAACTGGTTTCGTAACCGAAACCTGATACATATTTTCGCGAAGCGAAATTCGGAGTCTCAACACCTCCATGAGGAATCCTAGAGTTTGCTGGCCGGTTACATTGCTTATTAACATACTTTCGGTCGCAAACAAGCCGCCCGTGGAAGCTGTCGTAACCGATTAAAGGTCTCGGCCATCGAGCACCGCCGGTTATGCGTGTAAATATAGTAGCACAGACCAAGGAAGTTAAGACTGAACACTTTGAAATCGAAGCTCGAAACCTCTGCTTTAAGACAGCGTTTCTGGATTTCAGGTTCGATGCACTCGTGTCACTGCAACCCTTCCAATGCGAGGCCATGTTTGTCGCATAGAAAATCGCCAAGTTCGACGAAACGCACGGACTTTGTAAAATTTTTCTCGGAGACGCCGTTCACGGTCGAACAAAGTTCGATCCTTTCCCGTTAATTTAAAAAAAAAGAAACGAGCCTGCGATTTTTTTTCGCGAAGTTACAGCACTTCGAAGTAACCCTGTTAACGCAAGCTCCGATCTCGTGCCGAAAATGCAAGGGTCACTTCGAGGTGCTGTAACTTCGCGAAAAAAAATCGCAGCCACGTTTCTTTTTTTTTAAATTAAAGAGGAAGGATCGAGCTTTGTTCGACCGTGAACGGCGTCTTCGAGAAAAATTTCACAAAGTCCTTACGTTTCGTCGAACTTGGCGATTTTCTATGTGACAAACAGGCCTCGCATTGAAAGGGTTGCAGTAACGTGGGTGCATCGAACGTGAAATCCAGAGAAACTATCTTAAAGTGGAAGTTTCTAGCTATAATTTAAAAAAAGAGTCATCGCTCTACGATGATTTCTCGCGGAGTTATCGTCGGTCGAAGTTGGCCAATTTCTCTCCAAAATTAGTCTACCCTACAATTTGATCGATCAATAAATTTAACCCGGTCATTTCAGTGAAAAGTGCATAAAATCCGAGATCTATTTACGACCGCAACTGTAACATCGTTAATCGAGCGACAGCGTTGCGTAAGAACCTTCGAAAAACGTGCACGGCCGACCACGTGCGATGCGAAGGAAGTCGGATGTGTGCGACTTCCTGATCTTGACTTCAACAGCCGTCTGATCTCGTCGCGAAACGATTACCAGCAAATTGCCGACCAATTATACACGAGTGCGTGACCCCGGTTTATCGTATTCGGTGCGACACGTTGTGCATTGCGATGCAGTTCTCCTTTTTTCTCGCGACCGGCCGGCTCAATAAAGAAATCACCCGTCGGTTCTTCGCAGATAAACATGCACTTTCAGCCACGCGATTCGAATTCCACGACTCGCTATCGGCTCGTTATCTGGCCAATATAATGCTCGATCGCATACTTTACCCTCAGTTGAAACATAAAACATTACTACATTATCGCCGTTTCATTGCACAAGCACTGTCATTGTATTACTTAATCTTCTCTGCGAGGCTCCGTTCGCGGTTTTATTATCTGGCAGAGTTATCATTTATTGAAGCTATTCAGAATTCCTTTCTTCAGAGAGAAATCAATTGTTACTCAATTCCTGTTTCTTGCGATTTTTACAGAGACTGTTTCCGTTTCGTCTACGCAATCGCTAGTCTGTATTAAACTGTTCTAGGATTATCAAGGATTGTTAAGTTATTCCCGTAGAGAGAAAGAGAGAGAGAGAGAGAGAGAGACGCGAATCTAAATAAAAGAAATAATCTCGTCAGGATTCTGGACATTCGTCGAGGGAACAATGAACGCTAAATAAGTAACAATCCCGAAGCCAGGTGTAATATATTGTCCCGATGAAGCTGAACTTCGTAAAACGAGCAGCAATACACTGTTCGCATGATTTACGAACCCGATGGCGCGCTCGCGTGCTTAAGTAATCCCCGCGAGTAATCATGAATCAGAACTGTTTTACGAGCCACGCACCTCTCGAATTTACACTTGTTCGTATCCGAGGGCCGTCCAATAAATACGATCGACCAAATTGATTTTATACGACCGTCGTATACGACCGCTTCTTCGATTCAGACGTAACGCACAAGCGACATTTACATATTGCGAACTTGTTTGCACCGCTGGTTTCACGACAAATTACACGGCAATCATTACCATTCGCTTCGCATTTCACGCGTTCAATTATCCTCCCGTCTCCGCGACAATGTTTCTCCGCGCCGTTGCGATGCAGAACCTCCTTCGATCAGCCAAACAACATTTCTTTCTGTCCCGATAGATTCTTCTGCGAACAACGATCGCAATTCGGAAACACGTTGTACAGTAATTTCTCCCTAATTCGCGCTCAGATTGCGCAGAAAGGTGGACAATCGGGGGAGAGGAGATACGATTGTTCGAGCCTCGCCGCTCGTTTCTATCGTTGTTGACAATTTATAGCTATAATCTATATGTTATATACTATATACTATACTGCTATAATCTATATACTATATACTGCTATAATCTACATACTATATGCTACTATAATCTATATACTATACATATACTGTATACTACTATCCTACTACTATTTTTATCACAATAAACGTTCGAACGAGAAG